ACAAAAGTGAGGTCATACTGCTGCCTGTCACCAGCTCTATACAGGTGTCAAATGTCAACTCGCTGCCAGGACAGAACCCGGATCTGAGAGCTACTGCAGCCACAGAAACTTTCCTTTGGATGGAAATCTGAAGGCAGAGCAGAACGAGACTGACCTTTGAATTTTCCAGCAGAGCTCTGGGAAGCTCAGAGGGTTAGTCAGGAGGTGGGGGAGGAGGGTAGGTTAAGTGGAATGTGAATGTCATCAATCACTTCATTCCCCAGTGACAGAAAAAGAGGGAAGGCTGAGTTATACCCACAGGAAGCATGCTTGCTTCTCGGCTCACTGCAGGGGCATGCCCACTCGCGAACACTCAATCACCTCGTTATTTATATGGTCACAAAAGAAGGAGCGAGAGGAAAAATACTTTTTTTTTTTTTTCACCAAGCAATGACCACAGGTAGGAGGTGGGTGTTTCTCTTTCTTGTCTTGAATAGCCAGGGATGGTGGGCTTGTTTTGGTTTTCTCGCCTTCTGTGCCTAGGAGTCTCTTGTTGCTGGGCTGGGGTTGGGGCTTTGTCTGTCTGTCTGTCTGTCTGTCTTAGTTTTCCAGCAGGTGCTAGTTATAGGAAACTGTCGGGATTCTAAATGAATATTTTCCTGTAAAAAGGCTTGTACGACCGTGTGTGACTTATGAATTATACCATCATGGTTACAGAAAGACGGGAAGCCAAGACTTAGGTGGACGCTAAGAAGTCAGGTGAGGGCTAGTGCGATGGCTCACACTCTACTAGAGGACCCGAGTTTGGTTTCCAGTGACACATCAGGCAGCTCACACCTTCCCGTTAACTCCAGCTTCACGGGATCCAATGCCCTCTGGTCTCTTTGGAAACTGAACCTATGTGAACAAACACACTCGTATATACACAATTAAAACTTAAAAACTTTATTCAAAAATCCAATATGCTGGTGGGGCTGGAGAGACAACTCAGTGACTAAGAGCACTGGCTGCTCTTCCAGAGGACCAAGGTTTGATTCCCAGCACCTACATGGTATCTCACAACCATCCCTAGCTGCATCTCTAGGATACCCGACAGCCCCTTCTAGCCTCTGCGGTCACTTCCACTCTCGTGCACGTATACACACACAGACATACAAAGATAAATAACTAAAAATAAAAATAGAAAAAAGTAATAGCATCATAAATAATATTTTGGTCTTTTTCTACCAAATCAGCATGTAAACTATAAAAATCACTTAGTGGAAGGGAAAGAACATTGCTGTCAGGTGTCTGGTATCAGCCTTCCTCGGTGGCGAGAGCCAGGTTCCTGCTTGCTCCCCGGCCACCTCTGGCCTACTCGTGGTGGTGGCAGCTTCTGCTTTTCCTTATTTTATTCTCAGGCGGTTTCATACATGTGTGTAATGAATTGTAGTCATCTTAGCCTCCTCCCACTGAAGCCCTTCCTCTTCCCAACAAGAGCTCCTCCTACTTCTGGGTCTTCCTCCATGTGTGAACCACTCACTCTAATTAGAGTTGCTTGCAGGGGCATGGATAGAAGGTTATTTCCTGGAGCAGGGACAACCTGTCAGTGGCTACACTAATGCAGATGATGACAGCAGCTCCCTGGGCAACCGTTCACTTCCATTAGTCCAGTAGGGAAGGGCGGGACCTGATGGCCCTTCCCACACACTTGGTGAATATTGCCAGTCCTGATCTCCTACAGCTCTGACTCAGGGGATCACATGAAGGCAATGGCCATGTCATGTCCAGAAAACATCTTTTTGCTGCACATTCCCCAACTTCTGGCTCTGACATTCTTTCTGTTCCCTCTTCTCTGAACCTTGGAGAGGATGACAGAGTTGTTCCATGTAGAGATAAGTGTGACTCCAGCCTCCTTATCCCAAAGAAGCTCAAGTAAAATGCTATTACCACGCTCTTACTGGGTCTGTCTCCTGCCACTTTTTCTTGGTGTCTGCCCTGGGACAATTGACCTCACCGTGCAGAAGGAACAAGGCTGCCTCAAGGCAGGCTGCTGACAGATCAGCTCATGGTCTTGTTATATATTTGTGTGTGTGTGTGTTTGTCTGTTTTTGTTATATGTATTATGCATGTGTGTATGTGTTTGTGTGTGTTTGCATATGTGTGTTTGTGTGTGTGTACTTGCATGTGTGTGCATGCGCGCATGCATGCACATGTACACAGGCGAATGCACCACAGTGCATGTGTGGAGGTTAGAGGACCTTGAGTGTCAGTTCTCAGTGTCTATTTTGTAGAAACAGAGTTTCCTGTTCCCTGATTCACCAGGCTGTCTAGCCCACACATTTCCTGAAATTCTCCCGATTTGACCTCTTATCTCTTTGACGGAATGCTGGTGTTACAGATGGGCCCTACTCTGTCCAACTTTATGTGGGTGCTGGGGATCTAAAGCCGGCTCCTCATAGTAAGGATTTTTCTCCCTGACGTTTGTTCTAGATGCCTTACAGAGAAACCAACAGAGAGATTTCTCAGGAAACAGCGTTCATCCCAGGGTGGCCTTACCATGCAGCTTGAAATAAAGACAGCATCGTCTCCGCCAGACCATGCTCGGTGAGCCACACTCTGAGTGGACTATAACCTGGGAGGCACCTGTTGAGACCTAGGAGTCAGCTATTCCTTCTGCGGGGCAGAGAGAGTGAGAGAGTAGCCCCGGATAAATGCAGTCTCTCCGGGGCTTGGCTAAGTCTGCGCCCACTTTCTGATTATTTCCTTCAACCAGAGACAGGAGGGTTTGGTTTTCTTGCTTGCTCGTTCGTTTTTATTTTCCCACAGGATGAAAGTTAATGAAGTGAGGTCAAGCAATCCAACCCGAGTCCACTGCCAAATGCATCTTTTTCAACTTTGCATTCTGGGACAGAAGAGAGGATCTCTGGTTGAGTCTATGGACTCTATAGACACACTTCAACTCTGAAACTGTCTTGAGCTTCCATGTATTGCTAGGTGTCATATGCTCCTGGTCTAAGAGAGTGTACTTGTTAATCCTTTCAATCTGTGTACCTGTGACCCCAACGACCTTGACATGTCTGGACTCAGGGCTTCCAGAACACGTGGTGAACTGAGTTTGCATTTGCAGACTGCTTCCGGGAAGTACTGGTCGCCACAGTTTTGAAGAAATCCTTTTCCAGGAAGTCTGATCACCCTGACTTTGGGCTCTGTGTTTGAAAACCGGCCTAGATCTGAGCCTGGATGGGAGAACATGTTGTTGGGAAATCTCGCCTCTAGAACTGTGGTTATACATTCTTGGTTCCCTTTGCTCCGTAAGCGTGAACGGTTTTCTCGTCGCCTGCCATCTCTTTTCTCCCTCATGTTGTGGAGCTGTGTTAACAATCACCATCCTTATCTGTGTCAGATCTCCTGATCATTCCTCCTTTGATAAATTCTATCCCCTGCCTTCTAAGGTGTTTGGTGGAACCCCTGCAGCTGTTGTGTTGGGGTCCTCCTCTATGTGCCCAAATCCTCTGGCGATCTCTGCAATGATGGCTCTGGTCAGACACTACCTTCAGGAGCCCCTCTCACCACTGAGTCTTTGAGTTATGCTGGAACTCACCTTCTTCGTTCATATCTCAATGCTCTGCTTAATAAGCTCATAACAGTCATCCAGAAAGGCAGGGCCATTTGTCATCTACCATCGTCTTTTCATGCCTAGAAAGCATCCATAATGATGACAATAATGTACTTCCATTTTACTTTGTGATAGGCTTTTTCCGTCCTTCATTTAGGTTCTAAATCACCTAGTCTCTTATTCATGGCATCCACTGCTGCCTTGATAGAATAGCTCCTGTATCCAAAAAGAATTTGCCTCAAGAAACAGATTCCCCCATCATCTCCCTTGAATACTGCCACTCTTGTCAAAAGCTTCCCACAATTGAGTCCCCCTTAAAGTCTCCTGGCTTTTGTCCTGTACTGGCTAGGTCCTGGTGCTTGTTTTGGCTTACAGCTTCTTCCCTTACCACACCAAGCTCAGACCTCTGCCAAGCTGTTGTAATATATCCATAGGGTTTAGCCTGGTGAGCAGGAGAGGATCTGAGAAGAAGCAAGCAAGCACTTCGCCCACTGAGCCATCTCTCCAGCCCCTGGACTGCTTCTTTATCTTCTTGATGTGCCTTAGAACCACGTATCAGATAGGTTCTATTATGGCATGGAGGACTTGAATTCGGGCTAGATGGCCTTCTTTAAATAGTTTTGGAGAAGAGAGACAACCGAAGGCACTATGGACAGTACCACTTTCTGCATCTGTGGGAAGAGAGTCCTTGGGTGCTAAAGGGAGACTTAGGTGGTACGTCCCACTCCCCATCCTGTTTATGTAGGGAGGGGCAATGACTAACACAGGCAAGCACCTTTAGAACACAGACTTTAGATAGCTCCTGTCTAACAGGCTATGTTAGAAGAGGAGTGTTTGGTTTGGGGAAACTATGTAGATTAAAATGAAGGGAATTTGCTGAGTTGGCGAGACACTGAGGTGAGCTGTGGGGAAGATCCCCCTAGAGATTTGGGAGAGAGTTGCAACCCTTTCTTCCTCCATTGCGAAATGACTGAAGAAGTCTTTCAACCCCATTGACCTTCTCTTCATCTAAGAATAAAGGAGGGAGGAGGGAGGTTTATGGTACCTAAGATACAGAAAGAGCCTCAAAACTCAGTGACTGAAAAATTAGAACAAAAATTTAGAAGAGTCGGGGGCTGGTGAGATAGCTCAGTGGTTAAGAGCACTGACTGCTCCCCCAGAGGACCCGGGTTCAATTCCCAGCACCCACATGGCAGCTCGCAGCTGTCTGTAGCCTCAGTTCAAGAGAATCTGACATCATTGTACCAATGTGCATGAATAAAGTTTAAAATAAAATAAATAAATATTTAAATAAGTAAATATTTAAAAAAAATAGAAGAGTCTATTTTCTACCAAAGAGGATGAGCAGATGGAAAAGGAATGTGTGACAGGAGGTTCAACATCATCAGCCAACATAGAGACTCAAGCGGAATCAGCAGTGAGATACACCAAGGAGCTGAGAGACCACTCAGGGGTCAAGGGCATGCACTACTCTTTCAGAGGAACTGACTTCAATTCCCAGCACCTGTGTCAAATGGTTCACAATTGCCTGCAACTCCAGTCCCAAGGGCTCCGATGTTCTCTTCTGGCTTCCTGAGGTCACTCACACACGCATGCCTGTCCCGCGCTACCGTCTCGCCAGCAAGAACCACGCGGTACACATAGGATCCTTCTGCAGAAAAGCTTTATGTCTCTTGAGAGCTAGAGCATAAGCCACATGGCGGAGACCCAGATAAGATGGAACCCATCCCTTATAAAGGAAACAGATCCTGCTCTGGACGTGTCTCTCCTGGATTGGTCAACTGCTCCCAGTCCCAGGTGAAACCTTGGGAGTAGTGGAAAAATACCAACACGTGTGAGCTTTCTAGCTCACCTGACGGTGCAGCGCCATCTATGGTGGAGAGTGTGGTTGCGGCCCTCTACATCTCCCCCTAATTTTACTTCTTTGCAGAAAGGCAACTCCCTAGGAAGGTAAAGATAGAGGTCGCACTTCCCAAAATGAAAACATTAAAATGGGCTTACACGGAATCTGTCCCTAGGCTCATGACACCTGGAACCTATCCGGCCTGCCCTCTGCCATTTTTCTGGGAAAGGGAATATACAGCAGGAAACCCTTAAGCAGAGCGACTTATCTCTCAGAGAGGGCCATTCTCTGTGCGATGCTCTTCAGCTCGACAACCTTCAGGGCTAGCTAAGCCAAGCACTCCACCCTGTGCAATGGACCACAGTCCTAGGGGTGCAGGAGCTGGTTGGCTTAAACCTTACTGCTTTAACATAGATAACCACACATCAGTAGAGGCCCCCTGTTCCAGGGCAGCCAGCGCTGTGCAAAAACCACTTTATCCCTATGGCTTTGGGATTTGAGTCAGCAGACCATCCAGAGGAGAAACACTAATCCATAGCATAGGACTGTTCCAAAACATTTCCACCCCCACCCACTCTTTGAAGTAGGGGATGAAGGACACGATCCAGGACTGGAATTCTTCGGCCAAGCTTATGTCCACTCGCGTGGAGTTGATTGTCACGATGGACCATCTCAAGGAGGACAGCAAATCATCAAAATTCTCCTGCAAGATACAAAGACAATTCTCGGGACAAGTTAGCCACTTTTATAAAGTTCTCATATGGTACACTGGTCACACAAAAGGCTGGAGTTTTCCATTCACAGCCCAATTGGGCAAGCTGTCATAAGATATCCACCTGTTCTTGTACTAGGTTAATTATTTGATTAAGAACCATTATTTCACCTCTAATAGATGTATCTATGGTAGCCTGCTGATCTAGGGCTGTAGCCACTGTGGTAGATAACTGATTGAGGGTCTCTGTTTTTCATGGTATAGGCCGTGCTGTCCCAGTGGCGCCTAGGAAAAACCCAGGCCCTGTTTGTTGATATAAGGTTTAAGATTTATTGGCTCCCGTATTCCTTGCCAGTACGGTGGCCTCGGGTTCCAGAGCCCGCCCACCATCCAAGGGCTGTGTGCGGCCCTGGGCCTGCTCGCTATGCGGATCCCCGTGTCCCGGGCCAGGAAGTGGCGGCTCCACCCCCAGGCGCCCCTGCCTTTCCCGCGGGGCTAGCCTAGTTCTCTGAGGCTGTGTTGGTGGCAGAGTGTGGCGGGAGCCGACACCCAGACCGAGGCGGCACAGGCAGCAACATCTCAAGGTCCGCGCCAGAGCCGCTGCGGCTCAAGGGGCCGATGGGAGAGGCGGCGAACAGGGCCGCTTCCCTACTAGCAAACTCTCAACACCTGTGCCATAGCAAAAGCAGCTGTAAACAAACTCTCACAGACCCAGCCAACGACCCAATCACTTTAAAAATCTAAGGGCTTTTTGCATCTACCTCCCTGTGGATCCTGAAACATTAGATTTAAAACCAAACAGTTGTAAGCTGCCATGTGGTCACTGGGGAATTGAACTCACGACCCTTGGAAGAGCAGGCAGCATCCTTAACCCCTATGCTATCTCTTCAGTTCCTTATTCAGATGGAAAATCTCTCGGGCTAGTAGCCAGCATTGTTCGCCCCGCCCGTTGCCCCAGGCTATGCCTTTGTTACCTAGGATCAGCACAGCTCAGCTCAGCCAAGCGGAACAGAAGCCACTCCAGCCTCAGAGCCCCTCACAGTTTCAGGCACATTGCAAGCCTTCTGACCTGGCAGCTTGTGGCACCGTTCTCATTCTCGGTACTGCTGTGATACCCTCCAGGCCAGGCACCAACTGAGCCTGCGCAATATGCCTCCCACCATAGCCACAGAGCAAAGCTCCGCTCCAGCCGCCCTCCAGCCCCAGCTGCACCCACTCCGAGCCCAAACCGGTGCACAGAGCAAAGCTGAACTCAGAGAAGCAGGCTTGAAAGGACCTCATTTAATCTTTAAGGGAATTTGGGCGTCGTTTAGTCTCTTTGGCTGCTTCCTGCTGTTATTAGGCCGCTGCATTTTAGGGGTATACATTACAACATTTCAGGAGGTCTCGGTGATTCAAACCACGTAAATCCCAAGTACACCCTTAGGCTCTCCCCCTCCGTGGAGACGAAAACAGAACCTCCCTCCCAAAACACCACATCCTCAGCAGTCTCCAAGTTCAAATATCCCTCTCCCATCCAGTACACAAAAGACAACATGAACAACACAACATAAAGCTTTTGACCCTGCAAATCAGCCCTCTCCCCCATCCTCACTCTCTTTTAAAATCACTGGGGGGTCCTTTTTAACTTATTTTCTTTTCTGTCTCCCCCATTCTTTACCGGAGGGTCCTTTTTAACTTATCTGGGTGCGCGCACAACCTCCCACTGCTGCTCAGTTTCTGATATGCTCTCTGGACTTTAGAACGTACCTCTCTGAGCACGCATGCCTGCAGTTCTGAATCCTCCTTGTGTCCAAGGGGTCTCCGGTGGTGCAAAGTTCTTCTTTTTCCCGGGTATCAGCACCAGATGTCCCGCGCTACCGTCTCGCCAGCAAGAACCACGCGGTACACATAGGATCCTTCTGCAGAAAAGCTTTATGTCTCTTGAGAGCTAGAGCATAAGCCACATGGCGGAGACCCAGATAAGATGGAACCCATCCCTTACAAAGGAAACAGATCCTGCTCTGGACGTGTCTCTCCTGGATTGGTCAACTGCTCCCAGTCCCAGGTGAAACCTTGGGAGTAGTGGAAAAATACCAACACGTGTGAGCTTTCTAGCTCACCTGACGGTGCAGCGCCATCTATGGTGGAGAGTGTGGT